GGAAAGACTGCAGCGAGACCTGGATAAGTTGCAGGGGTAGGCTAACAAAAACAGGATGTGTTTCAATACGGACAAGTGCAGGGTGCTGCACTTGGGCAGTAGTAACGGGCAGCACACTTATAGGATGGGAAACTCCCTTCTTGAGAGCACGGAGGCAGAAAGGGATCTTGGAGTCATCATTGACTCCAAGATGAACATGGGCCGACAATGCGAGGTCGTGCATCCACAGGTGCATCTCAAGTAGGTCTAAGGAGGTGATCCTCCCCCTCTATGCAACACTGGTCAGGTCACAGCTGGAGTACTGTGTCCAGTACTAGGCACCCCACTTCGAGAGGGATGTGGACAACATTGAGAGGGTCCAGAGGAGAGCCACCTGCATGATCGGGGACAGCAGGGCAGACCCTACAGTTAGAGGCTACGGGACCTGAACCTGACCGGGAACCTCACAAGAGAAGGCTGAGGGGGGACCTGGTGACTGTCTATAAACTCACTAGGGGGGACCAGAAGGGTTTGGGGGAGACCTTGTTTCCCCTAGCGCCCCCCAGGATAACAAGGAATAACGGCCACAAGTTGCTGGAGAGTAGGGTTAGATTAGACATCCGTAAGAACTACTTCACAGTTAGGGTGGCTAGGATCTGGAAACAACTTCCAAGGGAAGTGGTGCTGGCTCCTACCCTGGGGGTCTTTAAGAAGTGGCTTTATACCTACCTGGCAGGGGTCATTTGAGCCCAGTTTTCCTCCTGCCCAGGCAGGGGGTCAGACTTGAAGATTTACAAGGACCCTTCCGACCCTATTTCTATGATTCTACTGCCACTGACGGCCTGCTGAGCAACCCATGCAAAGCCAGCAGGCCTAGGCACTTAAGGGAGCCCACCTCTGCCCCAGCCCTGGATCAATCTGTGGGCAAGGCAAGGGCCCCCAAGGGGACACTTACCTGCCTGTACACGAATGCCAGGAGCTTGGGGAATAAGCAGAAGGAACTTGTCCTCCTGCTTAACACAAATAATTATGACATCATAGGGATAACGGAGACCTGGTGGGACTCCACCCATGACTGGACCACGGGTATAGACGGTTATACCCTGTACAGGAGAGATCAAGTAGACAAAAGGGGAGGGGGTGTAACTCTCTATGTCAAGGAGAGCTACTCGTCCCTGCAAACCAATATTGGTGACCAGGGTGGACAACTGGAGACCCTCTGGGTTAAAATCCGTGGGAAATGCAGCACAGGGAACATAATGGTGGGAGTCTACTGCAGACTTCCCACCCAAAGTCAAGAGCTTGACCAGGAGTTTGCCAGGGAATTGGCTGAGGCCGCATGCTCCTGGTCCATGGATGTCATGGGAGACTTCAACTACCCAGACATCTCGTAGGAAGAGCGCTCGGCTAAATCCGGGCAGTCACAAAGCTTTCTCTCGTGCGTGGATGACCTCTATCTGACACAAGAAGTCTATGGGCCAACAGGAGGTGAAGCGCAGCTTGACCTGGTACTGGCAACTGGGGATGACCTAATCAGCCACCTAAAGATTGATAGGAAGCTGGGCGACAGCGACCATGAGCTGACCACCTTTACCATCTGCTGTAAAGCTGGCAAGTCAGACAGCAATACAGAAGTCCTTGACTTCAGGAAAGCTGACTTTGACAAGCTCAGGAGGCTTGTCAGTGAGGCCCTAGGGGATCATGTCCCTAAGGGGAAGGGAGTTCAGGAAGAGTGGTTGCTCCCCAAGGGAACAGCCCTCGATGCACAAGCTCAGGCTATTCTGTCTCGGAGGAAAGGCAGCAAAAAGGCACGGCAGCCCACTTGGCTCTCCAGGGAACTAGCGGACCTCCTGCATCTAAAAAGAAAGACCTCCAAAGGATGGAGGACGGGATCCACCTCCAAGGAGGAATATCCTGCACTGGTCCAGTCCTGCAGGGAGTGAACCAGGAAAGCCAAGGTTGTGACGGAACTGCAACTAGCTACAAGTATCGAGGACAATAAGTCCTTTTTCAGATATGTGGGGAGCCGGAGGAAAAACAAGGGCAACACTGAACCCCTGCTAAACCAGATGGGACAACTGACGCCCAGGAAAAAGCCAACCTATTAAATGGGTACTTTGCATCGGTCTTTCATAAGTCCCACAGGACACCCATGCCCATTACGGGACAGGGAGGCCCGGGTGAGGGAGTTTCCCTGCCCTCCATCAATGCTGACCTCATGAAGGTGTCCAGCCTCTCAAGGTGTACCTTCAAGTCAGCCAGCCCAGACAATCTACACCCCAGGGTACTCAAAGAGCTGGCTAGCATCATAGCCCAGCCCCTGGCATGGATCTTTGAGAACTCGTGGAGCTCTGGTGAAATGCCTGAAGACTGGAAGAAGGCCAATGTGGTGCCTATCTTCAAGAAAGGGTCGAGAGTGGATCCGGCAAACTACAGGCCCATCAGCCTGACCTCTATCCTGGGCAAGGTCTTGGAAAAGATTATCAAAGAGGCCATCCTTAACAGACAAGCTGACAGCAATATCCTGAGGGATACCCAGCATGGGTTTGTTGCGGGTAGGTCTTGCTTGACCAATCTCATTTCCTTCTATGACCAGGTGACCTATCACCTGAACAAGGGAGAGAAGATTGATGTCATATATCTTGACTTCAAAAAAGCCTTCGATCTGGTATCCCATGATCACCTCTTGGCGAAACTGGCCAAATGTGGCCTCGGGTCCACCACGATCCACTGGCTGGAGAATTGACTCCGTGGTCGGACCCAGAGGGTGGTGGTTCAATCTTCATGGTAGTTCAGTCACCCGGAAGTCAATCATCATGGTGCCCTGTGACCAGTGGGGTCCCTCAAGGCTCTGTCCTTGGACCTGTATTGTTCAACATGTTCATTAATGATGTGGACATTGGAATCAGAAGCGGACTGGCTAAGTTTGCCGACGATACCAAACTCTGGGGTGAATCATCCACACCTGAGGACAGGAAGGCAATCCAGGCTGACCTTGACAGGCTCAGGAGATGGGCAGATGAGAACCTGATAGTGTGTAACACTGAAAAATGCAAGGTTCTCCACCTTGGGAGAAAAAACCTGTAGCATCCTTATAGGCTTTGCAGCGTTACACTGGCTAGCACTACGAATGAAAAGGACTTGGTGGTCATCATTGACCACAAGATGAACATGAGCCTTCAATGTAATGGTGTGGCTAGTAAAGTGAGCAAAACGGTGGCTTGCATCCATAGATGCTTCTCAAGTAAATCCCGGGACGTTATTCTCCCCTTGTACTCGGCTTTGGTGAGGCCGCAGCTGGAATATTGTGTCCAATTCTGGGCTCCACATTTCAAAAAGGATGTGGAGAAGCTCGAGAGAGTCCAGAGAAGAGCCACGTGCATGATCATAGGTCAGGAAAACAGACCTTATGATGACAGGCTGAGAGCTATGGGGTCTTTAGCCTGGAAAAGCGCAGGCTCAGGGGTGATCTGATGGCCACCTATATGTTTATAAGGGGTGTTCACCAGGAACTGGGGGAACGTTTGTTCACCAGAGCACCCCAAGGGATGATGAGTTGGAATGGTTATAAACTCCTGCAAGACCGTTTCAGGCTGGACATAAGGAAGAATTTCTTTACTGTCCGAGCCCCCAAGGTCTGGAATAGCCTGCCATCGGCAATGGTCCAAGTACCCACATTGAATGCCTTCAAGAGAAATGTGGATGCTTATCTTGCTGGGATCCTATGACCCCAGCTAACTTCCTGCCCCTTGGGCAGGAGGCTGGACTCTCTGATCTTCTATAAAAAGCCTTGCTAAAGTCAAGGTATATCAGGTCCATTGCTCTCCCCACATCCACAGAACCAGTTATCTCATCATAAAAGGTAATCAGGTTGGTCATGCATGGCAAAGAGGATCTTTGAGTTCAGTCCCCTTTTGTTCCTAACAGTCATGCTATATGTCCTTTCATAAACTGAACTTCAAAGGAACTAGGTTTTTCCCCTCCCTGTCTTGTTGGAAGACTGCTCCAAAATTTCATAGCCAGTTTATTCCTGTTTGTTCTGGTACTAAGATTGCCTTTTAGCTTAACAGCTCCCTTTCTGGTGCCTTTCCTCCAATGTATGTATAAAGAGCAGTCATATCTCCTCTTAGCTTTCATTTTTCTAAGCTAAACAAGCCAAGCTATTTTAGTCTCTTATATGATAGACTCTCTGTTTCTCTGATCATCCTTTTCTGTATTTGTTCCAGTTAGAAAATGGGTGTCTACAACTGAACACTGTTCCAGATAAGGTCCCACCCTGCCTGTATGTTGGTACTCTGCTGTCTCTATATCTTTTGCCTGTGACACAGGCATATCTGACTGCACTAGCTATGGATTTAGAAACACCTTCCAAAAGGTTGTGTGTGCTGTTTCAAAGAGTTAGGTTCAGCTTAGTCTGTGCAAGACAGTATCTGTGAAGGGGCCATGATATCAGATATTTGCACACTCCTATAAATGTGCACATAATTGTTCAGATAAGCTTGTTTTCATTCAAAATTGAGTTAAACCAGTTGAACAAAGGCATGACAATGCATAACGGTGATACTGAGAGCCTCGAGAAGATGTAAGGGGCAGAGTCATAACTATGAGCCAGATCACAAAGCATTATAAGTTCCAAGGATCAGGCTTGTACTGATAATGCCTTTACACTGAGATGGGCACTCCTGCTTTAGGGACCAGGAGGATACAGCATTCTACCCTCTGCACTATAGGACGGCAGGTAAATTACTCAATGCATTATTGCAGCTGAAGGCCATCTTTTCTTAGTGTTCCAAGAACATTTGTGTAGAACTTGAGGTCTCTCTAGTTTGGGGTGTTGAGCACCTACCCGACTGCCTTTCTCAGCAAAATAGATGGAGTTTTGCATGTGAGAAGTTTTGCAAATGAAAAGTGCTCAAACTTTTCAGAGTTCTTGGAAAATTAATTTTGTTGTCAATATTTGTCCTCTTGGAGGTGTATGCAGGAGCTGTAGAACTGACTTGCATATGTTTCTCTCCCCATAGGTTTGCCCATTAGTACATATGCCAGATATTGCTGTCGGAAACTGCAGAAGGTGGCAGTCACTGGAGGCAAGAAGGTGAGACATTCGCTGTACATCAAATGTTGCCTTTCTCTAGCATCTTCTGTGTAAAAGCATTTGACAGACTCTAATGAGTCAGTGACTCATCCCCACAGCCCCTTGGAGATTCTCCCCCTTCATGGAAAGAAGGTTGAGATGTGTAAAGGTGAGGAGATTTTCTCAAGATCACACAGCTGAAGCAGTAGGCACTTTTGCCTTTGCTCTGGATGGCTTGCATATCTCATGTGAAGCTGGCAGGAGAGTTGGATTTCCTAAGAAATCCCTAGTCTCGTTTTTAAAATTCCTGGATTAGGGAGGGCTGAGAGACCAGCGACAGTTCCAGCTTTTTTGATGTTATAGCCAGAGCAGTCCCAATTTCTCTACTATCATGCTTTGTTTCACTGGCTAGAACAGGATGCCAGATTGACCTCTAGCAGCTCCCCATCCCAAAGAATTGGATGTCAGAGGACTGGGTTCTTGCCTCATTTCTGTAAATCTCTGTGGGACTTTTGTACTTAAGTACTCCGTGGAGAATAAAGGGCAGTAGGTAAAATATTGCAGGCAAACAAAAGCCAGGCCTTGACAACTCCCCATCTATTGGCAGGACAGGAAACTTACCTGATTTTTCTGTTAGGTTTTTCATAAAAGTTAGCCCAGGCTCTGCCTGAGACATTCTAGGAATCAGCAAGGGGCCTTTCCAGACTGTTCTCCTGCCCTTCCTGGAAGCTTCTTTTTTGTGCTATATATTATTGGCTCTGCTTTAGTATAGCCCACCACGTGCTGTTGATAATTGTATCATTGACACCAGCTACATTCATTTCTCATTTGCCACATGAGATTAAAAGTCAGCTTCTAGGGCAGGGGCAGGCAAAATACGGTCCGCAGGCCAGATTCAGCCCATCAGGCCATACTATCTGGCCCACGGGGCCCCTACCAGGGCAGATAAATATTAGAAAATTAATATTTATCTGCCCTTGGCTGTGTGTCAGAGATGACATGAGCCAGGGGCAGCAGGACCCAGGGGGAGCCTCTGGCAGAAGTAGGCAGACATAGCAAGTCCACCCAGCTCCCCCCCACCCCCAGTCCCAGCCAGAAGCCTCTGCCTAGCTGAGGCTTCTGGTGTCTTCTGGCCTGGGACTGTTCCTGCCTCCCTTTGCCAGAGGGAAGTTCAGATAAGAAGCAGGGGCAGGGTGGCAGGGGAGGACTATGGGTGATCCCACCAGCCCTCAGGGCCAGCCAGCCGGGCTGGCTCCTGCAGTCCCAGCACTGCAGCTGGGAACTGCATGGTGCTGGAGCTGCTGACCAGCTGGCAGGTGGGGACTGAAGTGGGGAAATGGCTGTGGCAGGCAAAGGAAGAGACAGTGAATGGGTGTGTGCAGCACAGCAATAGCCAGGCAGGGGTGTAGCGGTGCACCAAGGCCAGCAGTGGTGGGGCTGACGGCAAGGCAGCAGGAGCGTGGGGCCCAGGCTGGCAGAGGTCTATGGAACTGGGCTGTGCTGCACCAGGAGGGAGACGGGGGAACCAGTCTGGCTCCATAAACCCCTGCCAGTCCGGGCCCTGTGCTCCTGCCACCCCGCTCTGGGCCCCACTGGTGCTGGCCCTGATGCACTGGCTCAGGCCCTACACTCCTGCCCGGCAGTTTCTGCCCCCTGTGTGCCTGCTCCCTGCCCCTTCCCCCCCACCTGCTGCAGCCATTTCCCCAATTCCCCTGCCTGCCAGCTGGCTGGCATCTCCGGCACCATGCAGTTCCCAGCACCATGCAGTTCCCAGTGAGCAGTAGGGCAGAGGGATGGGGAAGCAGCAGAAGGGCAGCAGTGGCAGACGAAGGGAAGTGGCGGTGAGCGGGAGCATGGGGCCGTGACAGTGTCCCAAGACCAGGAGCAGCAGAAGCGTGGCACCCGGGCTTAGAGGAGTGCTGGCAGGGGCTCTGCCTGCCACAGCAGGGGACAAGCTGTGTGCAAACCCCGCCATCCAAGCCACAACCCTTCCCAGTCACCCTCCCCCCACGCACAGCTCCCCACAAAACCCACTCGCACCCACACCCCCCATGCCTATCCACTCTCCCCACAAATCCCACACACACACACACCCCCACACACTCTCCCACACCCAACACACCCACAAACCTATACCCATCCACCCACCCACAATATACAAGAGTTAGACTTCATTTTAAGCTATGATACTATCACCTCTATATACACTACATGCACTCCTGTAAATCAGGACAGACATATGTTTTGAAATGAAATGAATGAATTTGTAGTACATGTTTGATGGGGGTTTTTTGGGGGGGGTTTTAAGAATATAATTTGATATTTTTCTGGTTCTGAGATGGCAAACCCTGTTGCTGAAAGGAGTGCTTCCAGGGGGCAAGGGAAGGGACTTCTGGTGGCAAAGGTCAGGGTTTAGGGGTGGAACTTCTGGCATTCCAAGATGGCAGCCGGAGGGGGCAGGGCACCTATCAAGGGGCAGGACTTCCTATGCGGCCCTCGATCGCTTGCCAAAACTCTGTAAGTGGCCCTCCACCCAAAATAATTGCCTGCCCGTGGTTTAAAAGGTTAATTTTGGCAACAAATAATGGGAAAAATGTTTGGGGGGGAAAATAGCCAGTATAACATATGCATGTGCTCTGCTGGCCCAGCAGCAGCTTACTGATGAACTGTACCCAGAGCTAGGCTCATACCTGCCACTCCTGCACCAAGAAAATGGAGCCACATCAGAGGCCCAGGGAAAACTGGAATATTTACTAAATGGTGCAGCAGGGATCACAAGCCCCTGTTACTGTGAGGACTGTCCACCTCAGGAGGGTCAGATTAGAGAGCTGCTTATCCCAGGAAGGGCCATCCCCAAATCAAGGGCTGAAATCGAAACCACACAGCTGTGACTGCCCGCAGCTGTCCTCAATACCCAAAGAGAGTATAAGATAAAAGGGAGAGAGAAGAATGACAGCCCTCCACGGGGGATTGGGGACGATGGAGCTTCCGGATGCCGGAGACCCAAAGAGGCTATGAAAAAAACGGAGTCGAAAGATCCCAAGGCCAGAGACCATCATCAGGAAGGTAAATGAGTATTGAAGCTACTTACTGGAGCAGGAGATTGGCCAGCAATTGGCCAAGGCAGTAGCAGCAGCAGACTCTGTGGGAGCAGCAGCCAGCGGGGAGGGAGCAAATTCCAGGTCCCAACACACAGTGGAAGCTGCAGGGCAGGCGTGGGGATCTGAGTCAGTGTCTCAGTCGACTCAGCAAGAGCTGTGCCGCCAGTACGGGGAGGGAGCGGATTCCATGTCCCAGCAGGCTCATCAGGTGCGATGTGGCCGGCGCGGAGATCCGGGACAGTGTCCCAGCTGGCTCAGCAGGAGCAACACCACCAGGGGGAGAGAAAGAGGGGGACGAGCCATAAACCCCGATGATCCAACAGAAGCTGCACCACTGGCATGCGGAATGGAAACTCTCTGCCAGAGAGAGCTGAAGACACTGCAGCATTAGTGGTGGCTGCAGGGTGGTAACAAGGAGCCAGACCCGCAAGAAAGGGATAAGAAGTACCTGTAGGCAATAAAAGGGTAAGAAACCCCTGGAGAAAAGGGGAGAAGTCATCCCCACAGGGTGGAGATACTTGGGGACCTGTAATAGTCAAGAGGGAAAAGCAGCGAGGCATTGTGGCAGGTACAGTTTTTCCACTTCATATTTTCTGGACTGGCAAGACTATCACTTCTGGGTTTTTTTGCACCCAGTAAAATGGTTTCATGTTTTTAAAGGATAACTTATTTACTTCAAACTTCCCATCAAAGCCGTGGCAGATGAGTCAGACCAGGAGAGTCCCTAGTGTAGACACTGAACCCAGTAACAAATGTAAAGGTCAAAATGTGGCAACAGAACCAGAGAGTGAAAATAGATGACAGTCTCTGGAACTCTTCCACTTGCAGAAAGCAACGTTCTTGCTCTATTGCCTCCTGTCATACTCCCACACCTGATCTTTGCATATGAAGCTTCCATAATGGGATTCTGTTGCAGCAAGGCTTTCAATTCAGATGATAACCTGTGCTTCCCTGAGGGCTGCTCATGATCCATATCTCCATGTATAACTAATCTTCCATGGGTCCAATATCAAAATGCAATTTCACTGATGTTTTTTCTGTCTTCAGGGCCTCCAAAAACCAACAATAGAGGAAATAACACATGCCAGAAATACTATTGTGACACCTTCACTCTTTGGCAGCTCCCTGGAAGAAATCATGTTACGGCAGAAGGAGATATATCCAGGTAACAAGCTGCCCTGGATACAAACACAGCTATCTCAGCAAGTCCTGGCGCTGGGTGGAGAACAGACTGAAGGAATATTCAGGTGAGTTTTATGGACTCAGCACAACTCTGGCTCTGTCCAGGTTACAGACTGACCCAATAACCTGACAGTATCCAGAGCTAACCACTCCACATAGTGCTCTGAATCAACATAAGGTACGTAGGGTCACGCTCTAATTCATGGCACTTTACCCAAAGTGCTGTAAGTTAGAGAACCCCCCCCACTCTCTCTGACCCAACAGACATTCACCTGTTGGGTCGGAGGGGCTTGAGTCTGCCTGCACCAGCCCTGGAGGCTGCTGAACTACCCCTCTCCCCAGCACCACATCCCCCCCAACTCCAGCAGTGGACAAGGTGAGCTGGTAGCTAGATGCTGTCTCTGTCAAGAGGCTCAGGCAGGGGGTTAGGGGTGGAGAAAGGGAGACCCCCCTCTCCCCAGCTTGAACCCCTAGCTTTACCTTGTGGGCACCCCTAGCTATCCTGGCTGGAGTATTATGGGGAATCAGCCTGGGCCCACAGGGTACCCAGAATCTGTTCCAACACCCCTCCCCTTTTTCCCCCAGCTTTGACCACAGCAAAGCCCAGCCCGCAACTGCGTGCTGCCACTATCAAGCTGTCTGAGAGCTGAGAGTGAGGTGCGGGAAGGGAGTTCCCATCACATCATGGGCCCCCAGCTACCCTGGCTGGGAAGCTGGACTGGTAGTTGGGGGGTGCTATGAGGCAAGAGGGCTTTTTTCCACCTTGTGCCCTGCCTCACCCCTCCAGCTCCTGCCACGGCAAAGTCTAGCCAGCAGCTTTATGCTGCCCTCTCCTACTCTCCCTCCCTCCCCTCCTGAAAGCCCTGGGGATGGAGCTGGACTATTGGAGCTGGCAGGAGCACCAGCCGAGCCCCACAAAGGTGGAAAAAATGAACCCTCAGGGGAACATGAACACAAGTTCCCTAAGGCACTGTGCACTATAGTGTCTTCATCTAATAGCTGATTTATTGAGGGTTAATTTTTTGTGTGATTGGCCATTTTAAAAGAGTATGTGTTATGTCACAACCGTAGATTGCTTTCAGGGGCCAGATTATGCAAGAAAATGTAAGTTGTGAAGCGGCCATTAAATCACTTCTCCTTGAGTGCCTCTAGAATACACCTCATTGGGCATGCCTATATGTCACCCTACACCACTATATGATGCACTACAGTGACATAGCAATCATATGAGTCTACACATAACCGGCAGCTACTTCACCATAGCAGTATGATCCCCCATTTTAGCATACCGCTACAACAAAGTAGCAACAAAATCTAACCATGCGTCACATGCACAACGTAGTATGGGCGGTCACTGCACCCTGCCATAGTACTTCCGAAAGGAGTACTAAAGGAAGTACTAAACCAGGCCGCAGTAACAATGTATGTCACCATAGGGCAGGGGCGGGCAAAATACGGCCCATGGGCTGGATTCAGCCTGCCAGGCCATTCTATTCGGCCCGCAGGGCCCCTAAAAAAATTAAGATATTAATATTTATCTGCTCCTGGCTGCCTGTCAAAGATGACAGGAGCCAGGGGCAGCAGGACCTGGGGGGAGCCTCCGGCAGAACTAGGCAAACACAGCAAGTGCGGCCCAGCCCCCCTCAGCCCCAGCCCCAGCCAGAAGCCTCTGCCTAGCTGGGGCTTCTGGCCTGGAACTCTTCCCAGGGAGGCAGGGGAGGATTGTGGACAATCACACCAGTCCTCAGGGTCAGCCGGGCTGGCTCCTACAGTCCCAGCACCAGCTGGGAACCGCATCGACCAGCCAGCAGGTGGGGATTAGAACAGGGAAATGGCTGCAGCAGGCAGGGGAAGGGGCAGTGAAAAGGCACATTCAGTGCAGCAATAGCTGGGCAGAGGCACCAGGGCCAGCACCGGCGGGGCCCAGAATGAGGCGGCAGGAGCATGGGGCCCAGGCTGGCAGAGGTCTACGGAGCTGGGCTGTGCTGTACCAGGAGGGAGAGAAGGGAGCCAGCCTGGCCCCGGTGCACTGGCTCAGGCCCTGCACTCCTGCCCAGCTGTTGCTTTGCTTTGCACGCCCACTTGCTGTCCCTTCCCCCCGTCTGCTGCAGCCATTTTCCCCAATTCCCCCAGACACTGGCTGGCTGGCAGCTCCAGCACCATGCAGTTCCCAGCTGCAGTGCTGGGACTGCAGGAGCAGCTGGGACATGGTGCCAGGGCAGTGAACAGTAGGGCTGGGGGATGGGGAAGCAGCAGAAGGGCAGCAGTGGCAGATGAGGGGAAGGGGCAGCGAGCAGGAGCATGGGGCCGCACCAGTGCCCCAAGGGCAGGAGCGTAACACCCGGGCCTGGAGGAGCGTTGACGGGGGCTCTGCCTACTGCAGGGTGGGGCAGGCTGTGGACAAGCCCTCCCCCCACACACACAGCATCCCACAAAACCCACATCTGTCCACCCCTCCCCAGAAATCCCACACCCGCTCCCACACCCCATGCACCCACAATATACAAGAGTTAGACTTCATTTTGAGCTATGATGCCATCACCTCTATGTACACTACACACACTTACGTAAATCAGGATAAACTTATTTTTTTTAATGAATCTTGTAGTACATGTTTGATTTTTAGAATATAATTTGGTATTTTTCTGGTTCTGAGATGGCAGACCCCCTTGCTGAAAGGAGTACTTCCAGGGGGCAAGGGGAGGGACTTCTGTTGGCAAAAGTCAGGGTTTAGGGGTGGAACTTCCAGCATTCCAAGATGGCAACCAGGTGGGCAGGGCGTCTATCAAGGGGCAGGGCTATCCATGCAGCCCTTGATGGCTTGCCAAAACTGTAAGCGGCCCTCCACCCAAAATAATTGCCCGCCCCTGCCTTAGGGTAACGTGTAGATGTGCCTATTGTGAACCACAATGATTACCTTGCACCAGGGCATGTATCCTAAACCATATGAAACTGAGCCACATTTATCAATGAGCCAGCAGAACCCACTGACTGTATTTCCATCTGGATCAGTAACTGCTGCCTAGGTGAGTGTTTCAAGCAAATCTAGCAAGCCTGGAAAGGGATGTTTAAGAAGGTACCCCTCAAGGGACCATTAGTCAATTGGTGTATATGAAATGAGGGATTTTTTTTTTTGTGACTCGCTAAATTATTTGAGTTGATTATGATAATGGGTGAATTTTGACATCTCCTCGCATAGTGTGAACTTTCAATAAACCCGATTTTTGTGCTTGGTCAAAGCTGGGGGTATGGTAAATCCTTTTCCTTGCAGAAGGAAGGAAGGAAGATGGCAGCATAAAAACACTGGACTTCAAAAAGCCACAATCCCCTGGGAGGCATATCTAAGGGAAAAAGCAATCCAGAAGAGTTATTTTTTTCCTTAATAAGACAATATTATGGGTGCAAGGCTATGGTCTCCTGATGTGTAGGAAGGATAGGAAGTGTTATAAGAGATCTGCTTGGCTACAACATGATCTCGTCAATGTGAAACTTAAAAGGAATTGTACAGAAAGTGGAAACTTGGCCATTATGATGAAGGGTAAATATAAAAATACAAATGTATGGGGATAAAATCAGGAAAGCCAAAGTACAAATTGAGATAAAGCTAGCAAAACGCATAAAAACAGGAAGCAAAATCATTCTATAAATATGGTAAGCTAGAAGGAAGGAAAAAGGTTTTGTCTATAAATAGACAAACTGCTTTCTTCAGTTTAAAAAGGGCCCGCCAATGGCAAGGCCGCAGTTCATCCCAGCTCCGGTGTGAGATGCATGGGCAGAAGCCCATTGCACCCCCATTGAGGCCAGGGACCCCCAGCAAGACCCCAACTCAGACCCCCAGCATAGCCAGAGGTAGGTGGGGCCCACGGTGACGGAAGGTCCTAGACCTAGTCAACTGCAGGACAGCTGAGAGAAGCCAAGGGGGGTCACACCTTTCCCCCCCCCCAGCTCTTACTTCACTCAGCCCCCAGGAAGCCACGTGACCAGAGCCTCGCAAACAGGACGCGCAAACAGGTGCGCTTCTAGGCCCGGCGTGCGAGTTAGCTCGGGAGTTCGCGCAGAAGGGCGAGTGGAAGGGCCCGAGGCCCTGCTAGTGAGCCCTAGGGAAGGTAGTCACAATAGTAGCCAGACAATGTGGATGGCAGTAGCCGGACTACCACCAGTACAATGCGGATGACTACACATCACACCCCAAGGATCCCCTCAGAGTCTGAGACCTCCCCCTCTGGCACTTCTCAGGTCTCCACCCAGACGGAACCCATGGTTCAGGGCTCCATGCAGATGGAGCCTCTGGCTCTTGGCTGTGGGGGCTGCCTGGCACAATTCCAGGCACATGGGACTGGGAGCATGGCCACCTCCCCTTGCAGGGTCTGCGCCACTTTGGAGTCTCTGAGGTGCCAGATAGAGGAGCTCCAGACCACAGTCCAGAGACTGTGTGCCATCAGGGATGGCAAGCAGGAGATCAACTCCTACTGCCAGGCCCTTCATCCCAAGATGGCCAAGGGTAGACTAAGGTCACCCTCCAGGACAAGGGAGGACTTAAGGATCTCCCACACTGTCCAGCCAGGGGCTTGGACCAAGGTGGTCAACAGCCTTAATGCCCACTGCACCAGGGTCTCCTCCCCTCTGGGGCTCTGCAACAGCTTTGAACCTCTTGCAGCCCCAGTAGAACCTGCAGAGCTGCCAGCTCCTGCAGGCAAGGGAGGATCACTCATAGCTACTCATCCCTACTGTACCTAAGACCAAACACAGAGTGGTCATTGTGGGAGACTCCCTCCTGAGGGGGCAATCTGCTGCCCCAAACCCTTAGCCCAGGAGGTCTGCTGCCTCCTGGGGGCCCACATGCAGGACATAGTGGAGAGGGTCCCAAAACTTATCTGGCCCTCTGACCACTACCCTATGTTCCTTATCCATGTGGGCACAAATGATATGGCTTGGAGCAATCCCAGCCAGGTCATGAGTGGCTACAGGGCTCTGGAAGCAGGGCTTATGGGGTTGGGGGTACAGGTGGTGGTTTTTTTTGATCCTCCCGGTTGCGGGTCATGGGCTGAGGAGGGAGTGACAGATC